CCTCTAAGAACAGGAACCAGACAGGATGCCCTCTGTCACCATTCTTATTTAACACAGTATTGGAAGTCCTAGCCAGAGGAATCAGGCAAGAAAAAGAAATAAAAGGAATCCACATTGGAAAACAAGAAGTGAAACTGTCACTCTTTGCAGACAAAATGACTTTATATATAGAAAACCCTAAAGACCCCACTAAAAAACTTTTAGAAATAATAAATGAATACAGTCAAGTCGCAGGATACAAAATCAACATACAAAAATCAGTTTCTATACACTAACAATGAAGTAACAGAAAGAGAAATTTAGACTACAATCCCATTTACAGTTGCAACAAAAAGAATAAAATACCTAGGAATAAACTTAGCCAAATAGGTGAAAGATCTGTACACCAAAAACTATAAAACATTGTTGAAATAAATTGAGGTAGACACAAAGAAATGAAAAGATATTCCGTGCTCTTGGGTTGGAAGAATTAACACAGTTAAAATGTCAATACTTCCTAAAGCAATCTATAGATTCAATTCAATCCCTATCAAAGTTCCAACAACATTTTTCACAGAAATAGAACAGAGAATCCTAAAATTCATATGGAACAACAGAAGACCCCAAATAGCCAAAGGAATCCTGAGGAAAAAGAACAAAGCTGGAGATATCACATTCCCTGATTTCAAAATATACTACAAAGCCACAGTAACCAAAACAGCATGGTTCTGGCACAAAAACAGACACACAGACCAATGGAACAGAATTGAGAGTCCAGAAATAAACCTACACAACTATGGACAGCTAATTTTCAATGAGGGAGCCAAGAACATACAATGGAGAAAGGAGAGTCTCTTCAATAAATGGTGTTGGGAAAACTGGACAGCCACATACAAAAGAATGAAAGTAGACCATTACCTTATGCCATGCATAAAAATCAACTCAAATGGATTAAAATCTTGAATGTAAGACCTGAAACCATGAGACTTCTAGAAGAAAACATAGGCAGTATGCTCTTTGACATCAGTCTTAGCATTTTTTCAAATACCATGTCTGACCGGGCAAGGGAAACAATAGAAAAAATAAACAAATGGGACTACATCAAACTAAAAAGCTTCCGCACAGCATAGTAAACCATCAACAAAATGAAAAGACAACCTAACAATTGGGAAAAGATATTTGCAAACCATATATCAGATAAACGGTTAATATCCAAAGTATACAAAGAACTCATATATCTCAACAACAAAAAAGCCAACAAGACAATTAAAAAATGGTCAAAAGATCTGAACAGAGATTTCTCCAAAGAAAGTATACAGATGGCCAACTGGCACATGAAAAGATATTCAACATCATTAGCTATCAGAGAAATGCAAATCAAAACTACAATGAGGTATCACCTCACTCCAGTCAGAATGGCTATAATTAACAAGACAGGAAACAACAAGTGTTGGAGAGGATGTGGAGAGAAGGGAGCCCTCATATACTACTGTGGGGGTGCAAACTGGTGCAGCCACTATGGAAAACAGTATGGAGTATCCTCAGAAAATTAAGAATAGATCTACGATGTGATCCAGGTATTCCACTGCTGGGTATTTACCCAAAGAACTTGAAAATGCAAAGACATAAAGATACTTGCACCCCTATGTTCATTGCAGCATTATTCACAATAGTCAAGACTTGGAAGCAACCTAGGTGCCCATCAAGGGACAAATGGATAAAGAAGATGTGGTATTTATACACAATGGAATACTACTCAGCCATAAGCAATGATGAAATCCGACCATTTGTGACAATATGAATGTACCTTGAGGGTATTATGCTGAGTGAAATAAGACAGAGGGAGAAAGTCAAATACCATATGATCTCACTCATAAGTAGAAGATAAAAACAAAGGCAAACAAACACATAGAAACAGAGACTGGATTGGTGGTTACCAGAGGGGAAGGGAGGAGGGAGGAGGACGAAAGGGGTGATTAGGCACACGTGTGGTGATGGATTGTAATTGGTCTTTAGGTGGTGAACATGATGTAATCTACACAGAATTCGAAATATATTATGATGTACACTTGAAAGTTATAAAATTTTAGAATCCAATGTCACTGCAATAAAAAAATAAATAAATAGGAAAATAAATATATAAATAAATGCTCATTGATAGGTGGTTGATGAACAGAATTGCAGGCATTAAAGGGGTGAAGGAAATAAGCCAGGAGTCATTCTAGAGATAAAAGTTGTAGATTTCATCTTACATTGATGTATCTTAACCAATAGTTTTGAAAATGCCTAAGCAATTAATTAATATTTGGAAAACAATTCAAATTGATATTCTATTGTCGTTTCTAAATCATTATACTCAAATATATTACCATGTTTGTAACATTTGCTGTTGTGGGAATTTCTTCATAAAGCATTTAATGTCTAAAATCCTTTCATGATGTACAGTCAACTTCTTTCATACACACTCTTGTTTTAGCACAGTGTATACAATTAATTAGAATTTTTTCCTAGTCTATCCTCTCTTGTGAGCCAGTAATTACATAACCAATGGAATATATTTACTAATTATTCAATATAACAGTAATCCAAACAAATTATCTATATCTATTTGTCCAAATTAAAAGGAACTAATTGTTAAAAAAAGAACACAATGAAATTGACATATTTAATTTAATCATATAAAGCAAGAATCAGAAAATATCATCATACTATATCCCCAAAATAATATATAAAGTATTTTAAAGATCAGTTTTAGCAAGATAAATCCTCTCACCAAATTTATGAGAAATGTGACATCGATAGTTTGAACAAAAAAGCTTGATATCAGATGCATTCTTTCACAATTAAACATTTGTTTCCAGGACTGTATCGAGGAACTTGCTGTGTTTTGTCTTGCGGAAACACAGAGTATTGAGTTTACCTAAGAGTTGACAGTGGAGGTGGGAAGTTGGATTCTAAAGGAATAAGAAATGCTGGCAGCAGTAATAAATGCCCTCCTTAAATTTCATAACACAATAAATCTTAACGAAATAAAGGTTTATTTCTTGCATGTTATAGTCATGAATTGGGCAGCTCTTTAAGGAGACTCTCCTCTAAAGGGTAATTCAGGGATACAGGCTCCTTTCACCCTGTGACTCGACCATCATCCATCACTAACATTTGGCCTCCACTGTCACTATGGAAGGAGAACACAGTATGTGGGAAGGCACATCAGACACTTAATTACTTCAGCCTGGAAGTGACACCCACCTCTGCTCCAATTCCATTGGCCAGACCTAGTCATGGGGCCGACCTAACTACAGGAGAGGCGGGGAAATATAGAGGAGCATGCAAATATCAGTGAGTTCCGGTAGTCTCTGCCAGTGCTTAAGGCAACAGCCAAATCTATTAGAATTACCCTTGACGATCCCTTTTTAAGGATTTTGTAGTTGGCTTGCATCAGTGGCTATACAGAATGAAAAATATCCGTCTTTATACAACGGATAATACGCAGCCTGGTGAGAAGCTTGTGTCCAAAGAAGATAACTGAAGAACAGCAAGGGAAACAACAGATTCACATCTCAGTTCTCGTGCTCACTGTGAGGGCTGTAATTCCCTACACGTTTCAAAGACATCTCTCTCAATAAATGTGCATTTTTTATGAGACTGAACTATAATAGGAAAAGACAGGATGTAATGGTAACTTCTTCTGCTGTATCTTGGAAATCGTGGCATATTTTTATTTATATTTGATCAGGTTACTACTTGGAAATACCTTAAATCTCTATTACACCTGAGTGCCACTCAGCGCTCCTCCCCTTTATTCCTGAGGACAGGGAGTATGCTATTGCCTGGACTGTGTCACAATTTCCAGTTTCCAGAGAAAACACTGCCTCGTTGAAAGGAGTTTGGCATGCAAACATTTACAGCATTGTATCATTGCTCAGAGAACCATCATCATAAAATTATTCTCTGAGAGAAAGTTTTCCAGGATGGGAAAACAACTCCATAGAACTTTTTCTTCATTTGAATACCAGAATTCATGCTTCCTTTTTTGTGACTGTGATTGTGTCATGAATAAAGAAAACAGTGAGGTCTTTGTCTTTAGGATTCAGATTTAATGTATTCATGTTTACTAAAAAAAAGGTGTCTGCCAAGTAAGCAAGACTGTGAACCAGATAATATCTTGCTGCCAATAAGTCGAAAGAAATGTGTGAATCTGAGAAAAAAAGGCTACTTCAACTCTTCACTGAGCACTGGCTCGCCCTTTGCCAGACCTCAGCCGGTCAACAGCTGTGTGTGCAGGAGTGGCATATTAAGGAAGTTTTCTACAAGCTCAAATCATAGAAAACAGTTCAACTTTCATAAGCCTGGGTTTTATAAAGTTTACTCTGTTAATAACATCATTCAAACACAGCCATAAGTCTGTGAACCATTCTCCTCATCTCTATTTTCCAGCCGTAATTAATATTCAGCCAACCAGCCCAGGGTGGAGACTTCCAAGTTATTTGGGCTCTGACACCATTCTTCAAAATAGTCAATAGTCAAGCATTTTGCCCCATCTATACACACATCTGCCAGCATGTTTCATTTCTAGGTATAAACATCCAAATAAATAACTGTGACACCCTGCGATAGACTGAATGTTTGTGTCCTTCTAAAATTCATCTATTGAGGCCTAATCCCCTGTATTGTGGTATTTGGAGTTGGGGCCTGTGGGAGGTAATTAGGTCATGATGATAGAGCCCTCATGAATGGGATTAGTGCCCTTATAAGAAGAGACACAGAGAGATAAACTCACTCTCTCCACCACATGAGTGACAGCCATCTGCAAATCAGGAAGACGGCCCTCCCCAGAAGTCAACCGTGCTGGCACCCTCATCTCAGACATGCCAACCTCCAGAACAGTGAGAAATAAACTCCTATTGTTTTAGTCACCCAGTTTCTGGTATTCCATTATAGCAGTGGTCCCTGGCTGGCTGAGAAATATCTGTATGGTGGAACGTTGTGCATCCATATAAAAATCACACTTACAAACTGTATTCCATGACATAGAAAAATATTCAATTTACTTAAAAAGGCAGGGCAAACGCTGAATGTTCAGTGTGATTCCAATTTTTTAACAACTGTATTATGTAATCCAAATTTCCTCTTCCTCCTGTCCCTTTTAAATGGTCTGTTTCCTCCAGGAGAAATACAGGAAAAGCAAACATTGTGTCTTAGGTGACTCCACTTGGCCCTCTTGTGAGTGGAGTGGCTTTGCAGCTTCTCTCAGCTTTGCCACAGGCCTCCTGTTCCCTGTCAGACACTTCTGAACACAAGCCACACAGCTTACTGTTTCCTCTCCACAAACACTGGAGGTTGATTTAGGGCAAGCCTCGCCTTATTTGACTGTCCTGTCCCTTTCATGTCCCCTACACCACAACAAAAGACTGTACTAAGTAGCTCAAGAAATTTAAGGAAATTAAAACATTGCAGGAAGAGCAAACCTTAAGAAATGCTTGAAACGAGGCTTTTGGTAAAGTCCAAAAGAAAGCTCTTAAGAAGTTAAGCCCAGCACAGGCATCACCTTGTAGAAATAATCCCATTCTTAACCTGACTCCCTGAGGTTCTTCATTCAAACACCTCTTTTTCTGCTGTGAAAATTACACATTTCGGAAAACGCCACTCCCTAAGCAGATTCATCTCACTAAGATCCATTTACTGGAAATTATGTAGGAGAGCAAAGTCATGGAACCTCGCGTTCTCAAACTGTGAAGCGGTATAGAAGGCAACCAAATAATTAGTGTGCTAGTGAAGGGTGCTTTTACACTCACGGGAGCCACCACTGCTGAGGAGTGACCCCTGACTTAGTCAGCAAGCCCTTCTTGAGTGCTGCCAAAATTTCTAGAATGCAACGTACGCCATAAATCCAAAAGTGTTGAGAACCCAAACAAAGGTTGGGTTTTTTTTTTTTTTTTTCATTTTTAATGTGCATTTCTTTTATTATTGGAGATGCTGACCTTCTACTCCTAGGCATGGGGATTAGGCTAAAAAGAATCAGCTATCTCTTTGTCACACGTGGTTAGACTTGTTGAAAACAAAGTCCACAGTTCCTTCAGTTTTTGAGGAAGTGAACGAAGGAAGAGTCAGCCTAACCCTAGAAAAGACTATCCTTGTACCATAGCGAAAGCTAACATTCGTTCCTCTAACACACTGGGCTTTTTTAAATTGAGATATAATTGACATTTGACACTATATTAGCTTCAGATGTACAACATAATGATTCTATATATGTATATATTGCATAGGTTGCTTACATGTAAAATGTCTACTAAACTAAACTGCTTTACCTTCAAACTATATTCTAAAGCATTCTGACAATTTTGGTTTAAATTATAGTTTGAGGGTTATTTGTGATACCCTACCCTGTCCCCCAATACTGTAGCTTAAGAAATCACTATCAACTTATATATGTATATATGTATATACACAAAAGAACTGGTAGAACAAAATGTTTACTGTAATAGTCTCTTGGAAGGAGAATTATGATTGAATTTTATTTTTCCTTGAAACTGTCCTGTACTTTCCAATTTTTTGTGATGAAAATGCATTATCTTTGTAATCAGAAAAAAATCAAAAAATATTGTTAAATGGTTCTTCCACTGATAAATGACCAGAAACTTACATAAAAGCAAGTGCCTTTATACTTCATTAACAACACAATACTAAATGTATGATGATACCATTACCAACTTTCTAAAGTCTTCTTATTCATAGTACTGAAGGCAAAAAGAACAAAAGATTTATAAGCTGGAACTGTAACTGATGAAATATCATTAAAACTCTGGGGTTGCATTTCCAACCATGACAGATTTATGGAGTCTGGAATTATCCTCCCACCATAAGCAACTAGAAAACTGGAGGAAATAGACGAAAAATAAATTTCAGATATTGGACAACAGGTAGTGCAGGACTATGATCCATAAGAGAAGGGAAACAAATGAAGTGAGCCCTACAATTACCCAGGTTACAGTCTTTTTGATATCATGAGGGAGAGCCTAGAACTAGACAGTATAGAGCCTGAAAGGGACGCCTACCCCGCTGAATGCAGAGTGGAAGGACAGACAGAAAAGGGTCTTGGATGATATCGCTTGAGCCACTAGTTCAAGCCTTACCTGAAGACAGAACAGCTCTGATATTTCCCATTATGCAAGGAAATACCTTTTTTCCTTAGGTTAGTTTGAGTTGGATTTTCTGTCGTTTACAACGTAGAATCCTGCCTAACAGAAGGTTTATCGCTTTGTTCCTCTCTAACCCCCATGTCTTTCTCCAAAAATGAAAACAAAAGGCACGTGATGCAAGTGCTTCTGCTTTTAATGCTGGACAGTATCTTTACTTGAAAATAATGATAGGTAAGCATTTTAAGAGACAAAGCTCTATATGTAGAAATAATAGTTAATGAACAGGAGTACACGTATAAAAGGGAATCATTCAGAATTTAAAACCGTAAGCAAAAAATAGGTTTTCCACTTCTATATTTATCCAGAATCCTATTAATTCTGCTTTTGCTAAAATCTTTGAAGAGTGTTACTCAAGCTATTGTCTCCTGAGAAGCTGTTTATTACTATCAACGATCTGTAATTTTTTTGAAAAATATTTGACAGTAAAAAATTGCGTATATTTAAGATGTAGAATTTGAAGATACATACACATTGTAAAATAATCACCACAATCAAGCTAATTAACATATCCATCACTTCAAATTGTTATCATTTTCTTTTCTTCTTTCTTTTTGTGGAATTGTTAAAGAACAAGAATAGACTCAGAAGGCCCGTCTTCCCAGATCCAGCTGGTACTCAAGGAAAGAATGGTTTCCGAACTCCTTTGTGGGTTTTTCATCACAGACTCAAGCTACCTCCTTGAGGGAAAATTCTTTAAGTGTTCTGGAAGGCATGATCATCCCTAACCCCAGTGGAAAAGATTCAGCTGTTCAGTGGAGCAAAGATTGGATGCTCACAATCAGGGAGTTCCTAAAATAAAAATGTTTTTTGTAGATAAGGATTAGTTACATGGAGAGACTGAAATGGAGTCAATTCTGGGTAGATGTGAGATTCAAGAGACTGGTCTTCGTGAGGCATTTATCGTAAACCTGCCGGGAGACTCAGGGGGAAAGGAAACACAGTCCTCCCCAGGCAGTTTCCCTGGCCTGGTGGGAGGCTGTCTCCCATACCCGGGATTCTCCTCCAGGGTCACATGCGGAGGGTCACAGGGGAACAGTGTGCGAGGAAGGTTTGCAGGAAAGAGCTGTCTCATCAGAGAAGCTTCTCGACCAGGTGGCCTCGAGGAACAGGGAGGATTTCAGCACTTGGAGATGGAGTTGGTTTTCTGGGCCAGAGGGAAGAGCATAAGGAAAGACACGGAGAAGAGGAGTACAGAATAGCGCAGGGGCCACTGATTCATCCCTCTGGGATGAGACCTAGTCATAGAACCACCTTCTCTGAGGGAGTTCTGCTGGGGGAAAGGCATAACGTACGATGAAGGCAAATTCAAAGGTGAGCCAGGTGAGCTGGGTGGGAGACCCCTACCAACATCCCCAAAGAGGCCGTATATTCTGTAAAAAGGACTCAGGCTAGTGGAAAAGGGCCACAGCCCTGGGTTTGATTTCTAGCTCCGCCAGTGAATACCTGTGTGACCTTAGGTATTCACTTAACTGTCTCAGCCTCAGGACCCCAAGTATAAAAAGAGAAGAATAATATCTTTCCTGTGTACCTCACAGGACTGGCATGAACATCAGGAGAAACAGGGGGCACAGAATAGCATTGTCGAAGACTTTCTTGTAGTTTATCTTGTCATGTATCTGAAACTCCCCAGTAAATGTTACCATCCTTTCATTGCCAATACATCCAGACTCTTGAGGCCAGGGAATATGTCTTCTTCAGGACTGGGAACACAATATATGATTTTTTTAAAGGTACTTGGTAAATGAATGAATGAGTAAATGAGTGACTAATGTTCAGAGCCCTCCAACTAGATAATAAAATCATTTTCCTAACTACAATGGAAACCTGTGGACTGTTCTTTGACTTTTGGGCTGTTTGGCGTGGTGGAGGCTCTGAGTTAGTGGTAATCAGTTGGTGTCGTGGTAGAGAAGGAAGCCTGTGAAGGTGGAGTCATTGACATTATCGGCATAGAGCCCATTATGATCTCCATCCCCATACACCTGGAGCCAGACTTGGTCGCCCTTCTCCAGATAGAGGAGAACAGAGCCTGAGGCCTGGTCCAAGTTCTTGTCCTGGTACTGGTCATAGGTGAAGAGCACAGCCTTGTCCTTCTTGTAGAGGCTGACCTTCACATCCTTCAAGTAGACTGTGATGTGGTAGGAGAAGTAGTACAGCCCAGGAATGTTGCAGTGGAATTTGCCCGTGCTGCCATCATAGTGGTTTTGCTGATTGTAGAAGATCTTGGTAAAACGAATGGGAACATTGGGGACGGTGACTCGGGTCTCCAATCCTACACTGAATGCTGAGCGGTATACATAGGAACTTTCTCCAGGTTCTCCTTTCCTGCCTGGGATTCCCGGAAAGCCTCTGGGACCTTCAACTCCAGGCACTCCAGTTTCACCAGCATCACCCTTAGGCCCAACAAGACCTAGGGAAGGAGCAGACTTCAGTGACTACAAGGGACAGAACTCCTGCCTAGGTTAGGTCCAGCCTAAAACACTGTCCCTATGGAGCCTTCTCACAACCTGTTTGACTTACAGAGCAAGGAACCAATGGGAGCTCCCAAAGGGGAGAGTTTCACGTCCTCCTTCCACATCCCCCCAGCAGAATCCCATCAATTCATTGCTAACCTTCTCTCCTATAAGTCTCCATCATAGACCCTCCATGCCCCCAACCCTTTATGTGCTGGCTCAACCAACTGTACTTTTGCTCTTCTGTTCCCTCTGCCCTGCCTCCTCTTTGAAGCCTTCATTTTTAATCCAGGCCTGCATTGAGGGCATTTTCTCTCTGTTCTATACCTTGGACATTTGTCCACGTTGGACTTGGCATATTTGGAGTGAACTTCCTTGTAGTAACCTCTAACAGAGCCTTGTGCATTAGATTTGTCTTCGTGAGTAGACCAAGAGTTCTCCAAGAGAAGGACAGTGAGCTGCAGGAGGTGTGCATGGTGTGGTTGAATGCCACTGAATGGAATGGGAATTAAGTGGAAATGAGGAGAAATAAGAATATAAACAGATTGGGAATAGGGATGGATGGAAGTGGGGGTGGGAAAGGAGATGGGGAGGGTGATGTAGATAGAGCAGAGTCAATGGCACTGGTTTTACAGATAACATCTATTCTCAGCACCAGAAAGCCAACCCAGAATTCACTTCAGGTTGCTCGTAAGTCACATAAAAAAGCTTTGCTTCTTCCCCATAACTAGGTCTGAGTTGATAACTAATGCCCTAGTCTAATTCTAGAAGCCCTCCTATACCCAGGAGACATCTGTGATGGAAGAGGCCAAAAACCTTGTTCTTACCTGGATCTCCTTTCTCACCCTTCTCGCCAGGGGTGCCATCTCTGCCATCACGGCCTGGGGTCCCATTGTGGCCAGGATGCCCTGGGATGCCTGCCATCCAACCTGCGCAGCCCTCCTTGGGCAGAGTCTCTTCAGTCGTGGTAACCTCACCCGGACTCGGCAGGACTAGTAGCAATAGAACAGCTTGGAGCAACAGCATCCTGAGTCCTGGAATCCAAATCTGCACTGTCAGCCATGAGAGCAGACCCCAAACAGCACACCCAACCCAAACACACACATACATATACATACATACACATACTTGCACACACATGTACGCACAAGCACACACACACACATAGTCTTTCCTTGATCTAGTCAGACAACCAGAGACACATTGTCCCATGAGAATATCCACTGACCCTTTGCCTGGGCCACCCTTACTTACACCTTCTCACCTGCCTGATCCTTACTCAGCCTTTAGGACACAGTTGGGACGTCAGCTCTTTCAGGAACTCCTCCTGGTCCTCCCTCCCCAACCTGGGTTGGTTGTCCCACCTCTGTGTCACCCAGGGCCCTCACCATTGCTCTTCTTGCAGTGTACTGGGATGCCTGATTGGCTTGCCTCCTTCCTCCATTAAACTACAAGCACTGGGGGCAAAGCCTAACACCCTCCCAGTAGAGAGTAGGGATTAAATAAGTATTTATAATGAAAAAAAAAAGAGCAAGAGAGCCAGAGAGAGGAGGGTAGGAAGAGGGAAGAAAAGGAGAAAGGAAGAGGGAAAGAAGCAGGGAGGGTAGAGTACATTTGAAATATGTATTCACAAAGCTCAAGTGGCACAGGTGGCCAAGAGACTCCCTGTCTCAGACTGCTTCTCTAGGTCCCCCTCCCAGAAGGCAGTCCTTTACGTGCATAGGGACTCTTGTCCCCTCCCAGCATCTACCTCTGATATTAGAGTGATCTTAGCCTGCCACGCCTGATTGCCAGACTCTTAGTCTCCCAATCCCTGTCTTACCAGGGAATTGAGAGAAAGCACCACAGAGGGGGAAATATGTCCTAGGATCCTGGACCACAGGCATCACTAAGACCCTCTGTGGAGTTCGAAAGTGGTTAATCCCAAGCACGTGATTCTAAACAAAACACAGTCCATGTGTACTTTTTTACCCTAAAGACTCACTATTTTTCATCAGTTTGCTTGTCTCATAGATTACACAAAGTCTCCAAAATTGAGTTTGGCTTCAGGAAATAGCCTCTTTGTAAGGAATGCAGGCAAGATCTGAATTAGCAATCTTACCCCAAAGATGTATATGGTGTCTGGAATCCCACCCTAATCCCACTCATTACCTGGGGCTCTATAATGCCCTCTCCATGTGACACAATCAACTCATCTTTCGTACACACATATATACACATGCAAAAATACATGCTCATGTGTTCATTAAAATAGTAATATAAACACTTTGGAAACTACAAAAAACAAAACAATCCCCAATCCTAAGAATTTCTCTATTTGTTTTTAAAAATAGTGGAAAACACACTTTACATAGAAATTTTATTCCCCTATCTTTTCCTGGTCATTTTCTAGTTTTTATAATCATCATTTTAAATGTGTGTGTGCTAGTCCATCACATGGATTTAACCAAAATACGCTTCAGCACTTCCATTTCGTTGAACTTTTAGCTTACTTCCACTTTAAGATATTGTTTTAAAATCTATAACAAATATCCTTAGCATATAGTTTATCCCCAAATTCTTGTTCTGTTATGACATAGTCCCACAAGTAAAATTACTGGACAAGAGGTATGGACATTTTTAAGGCTCTTGATGCATATTCCCAAATTGCAGTTTGTTCTACTGTCCCCCAGCAGTGTGTGAGTGTGCACATCACTACCTAACTACTTCATCAACTTCGGATATTATCATTAAACACCATTTTTGTTGCTGCTAGTTTAGCAAACTAAAGAAATGGCACTTCCCTACTTTGATCATTAATGAGTCGTACATTTTATTAAAGGTCTATTTCCTAATTTAATTTCCTATCCTAATTTAATGTCCCCATTCAAGATACTTCTCTTAGTTGTTTTTGTCACTTAATTTATTAGGGACAAAATGATTTGTGTGAGCTCTTTATACAAACACTTTGTCACATAGGCTGTGACTATTTTCTCTAGAGTGCAGATTATTTTGTTTCATTTATCCTGATTTTTAGGTGACAGAAGTTTTAGTTTTTATGTAGTCAACTCTGTTGATATTTTTCTCTGCTTCTAAGTGTTAAACAGTCCTTATTCATGCGAGGGTTTGGTTAAAATTCTATTTTATTTTCCTTTGTTGTTTGATATATTTTAAATTTCACTCCTTAATCCATCTCTGATATTTTGTTTTGGTGTAAATTGTGATCTAAAATACTCAATTTCTCCCTATTTGTAAACTAGCTGTTTAAAGATACCTTATTAAATTAATCTTTTCCCTCTCTATTGATCTGATGCATCATTTATCAACTATCAAGTTCTAACAGGATCTTACAAGTAAAGTGAGAATAGAGAATGAGACTGTCAGGCAGAGAGGAGGGGAATCAGAGAGACTCAGGCGACACAGCAGCAGAGACAGGAGCTGATGGAGGCGGATGCTGCCCCTTGGTGGTCATGAGTCTCTAGCTAAGGCTCACTCTTACCATCTACAGGTACCTTTGTTGCCCTCTACTGGATTTGGAGGGCTTGGAAGGGCGTTCCCAATAGCTGCTGGAAATAGAAGTCATAGCTTAGTCTTGGCTTGTCCCAAGATAAGAAAAAAGAGGTGAGTTAGATGAGAAGCCAAGGAGGAGAGACCAGCCAAGCACTTTTTGTATGTAGGAAGAATACTTGTTCTGAAACTTTTAAGATTTCATGTCTTTAAACTTTCCCCATATTTGTCACCTCCATCCTAGCTCCTTAAGGGGTTAGCAATCAAATTCCTGAGAAGACCTCTGAGAGGCTCTGTGCTTGCTTTCTCCAGAAATGGTGAGGGCAGAATCTATGAGGCTGTGTTCTTTTCCACGGAGGACAGGAGGAGAGAATACAGAAAATGAGGTGGAGGCATCTACAGAAAGCCCCAAAGATAAAGGGTAATTGGGGGCATACTCCAAACCACTGGAGGGAGTGAAAAGTCAGAAGGTCTCTAGAATTCTCTGTTCCTCCTCCTCTTTTAAAAATTAAGATTCTGGAGGCCAGCCTGGTTGCATAGTGGTAAAGTTTGCAGGCTCCGCTTCAGTGGCTGGGGGTTCGCCAGTTTGGATCCTGGGCACAGACCTACACACTGCTCATCAGGCCATGCTGCAGCAGCATCCCACATAGAAGAACTAGAAGGACTTACAAGCAGGATATACAACTATGTACAGTGGCTTTGGGGAGGAAAAAAAAGAGAGAAAGATTGGCAACAGATGTTAGCTCAGGACGAATCCTCCTCACCAAAAAAGGCATACCTTAAAAAAAAAAAAATCAAGATTCTACTCTCCCAGCCCAAGGGAAGGCATTCCGTCCTCAACACTTCCATGTGGTGGACAGATTTCTCCACTAACAGGGACAACCAGTCTGGGTTCCATGACAGTGGCATGGGGTGGAGGTACTAAAAGGAGGAGTGAGGGGAGATGGGTACATGATTCTAGGAAGTTTCCGATGCTAAGAACAGATTCCAATTGAAGAAGAAGGTTGCAATTGATAACAATTGAAGGTCAGTACAGAGGTGCCCAATTTTCAAAAAATGTATTCCAAAATGATTTGTGCTCTTTGTTTAGATATAGCAATCGTTACACTTTGATTTCGGAAAACTGCTATTTCTATAGGGGAAAACTTTATTAAATGAGATTGTAATCTCAGACTATAATCTAAGACTCAGTTGTGCCTGTAAAGAAAGCTTTTATGAGGATCATGAAGCTAAATCCCAAGTTCTACTTACAATGCTTTGTCTGTGTAGAATGTCATTTGTAAAGTCCTTACCTCTTGATATCTCATTTAATTCTCACAATCATTTTGAGAGACAGTATGAGGGACAAAAGGAAACACATGCTCGGTGATCTCAGTGCTTAGTGAAAATAATTTGTTCTTACCTGTTACACGTTTCAGTCATCCGTTTGTTGGAGGATAAGTGGCATAATCCACATAAAGCACTTAGAACAGTGCCTGGCACATGTCAGTGCTCAATCAAGGTGAACTATGACTGTACCCATTTTAGAGATGAGGAAAGCGGGTTTCAGGAAGGTTACGTGATTTGTCCAAGATCCCAGAGGTAGAAGTAGAGGCGCTGGAAACCCAACTCTGGTTTTCCAAAGCCAACAATGGACTCTTCGGCATAGCCAGAGGGGAAAAGCACCAGGGTCACACATCTGCCTTTTAATATTCACTCCATAGGATGGGGGACAGAATACTGTGAAAAAACTCTCCAGATTATGATGCAAGTGACCTGGTATCTAGTCTAGGCTCCACCATTAACTCACTGGGTGACTTACCTGCCCCCACCGCATCTCCCAGAACTCATGCTCTTTGTCTGCAAATATGATTATTAATGACAGTAATCCTTACCTAGCCTATTTCACAATATTATTGTGAGAACTAATTGACTAAAAGTATGAAGAAGTGTTTTGTAAACTTATAAAGTATTCCAAATATAGGTGAAGAGAAGGGAAGCAAACAAATGTTTATGGACTACCTGCTAAGGACCACCCCTGTACCTCCACCACCCCTTTAATCTCACTTCACCTTTACAATTCCAGGAGGCAGGACTCAGTTCCCACAAGAGAAATCCGAGGACCGGAGAGGTTTAGTAACTTCTGGCCAAGGATGACAAGGAAAAGAGTGCAGAGGCGCCTTTTGAAGTCCAAGCCTGAGTTCTTTTCCACTGCACTGGCTTTCATGGTGCTCACTTTTAAAATTATACCAGGGAGTGAGTATGATGTTCTCTGCATCCTAAAGGGCCAGAGGATCTCTCATTTCACATGTGAAAATGTATGAGGAATTCCATTTTGGCCTGCTGAAATTTCAGTAACAACAGCAAAACCTTGTGAAATGCAAGGAGGGGGTCTCCTTTGGGACTGGCAGCAGACAGCAGAATGGGGGAAAGAGGTCACTAAACCCAGTGCCAATCTTTCCAGCAGGAAAGGGCATGAAAGGACAGTTCATAAAGTCCCTGAGGGACAAAAGGGACTCCCAAAATCATCTCTCCCATGCTCTGCTTTCGCAAATGGAAGGCTGTGAGGAAGGACAGGGACGCATTTATTAGGTCCTCAGAGAAGACAGCACCCACAGTGGGAGTTTTACACATTATTTATTTTAATCTTTACAAGAACTCCATGAAGCAAGGAAAATGACCCCAACTTTAGAGATGGGAAAACTGAGAGATTAAGGCAATGATCCCTGAGAGATTGCCATCCTGACTTCCAAACCAGTGAGCTTTCCAACACATTACACGGGCTTTAAAAAGGTTTGTCCGGCTCAGCTTCTTAATCTGCTAAATGAGATCGTGTCAGATCAGGGACATGAAAACACTTTGAAATTGGCAAGAGTGCTTTGTAGTATAAATTGCGTAAGGCACTTCCAGATCTTATTTCATCCAATCCTCCCCATAGCCCTGCTTTTGACTCCACTCTATAAAAGAATCTGAGACTCGAAGACACCAAGATGCTGGCTTAAAATCATGCAACTGTGGGGTTGAATTATACTAAATTACTGTTTTTAAAGGTCAGAATGGTAGAATATCAGCAATGCCACATGGTGCAACCTAATAATAAATGGCAGAACCAGGAATCAACTCAGTTCTGTCCGGTTCCCAGGAGGATTACCTGGGAGACAGTATTTCACTCAGCTCTGGGAGAGCTGTCGGCATTCCCAAGCCCAACACACACACACACACACACACACACACACACATGCGTATTCTCAAGGAACTAGTAAAGCAGAGCATCCCTCCACCACATTTTTAGGATCAGTCTCTCTTCACATGAAGGAATTCCTGATTGAAAGCTTCTACTCCAAAGCTTCTACCTCCTGACCTCAGCCAAGTGTCTCCTGGCTTGAAAAGGAGTAAGGGGAAAGTTTGTCCCTGCAGCCACTTTAGAAAGAACACAGAGCAATGCCTGTGTCTCTTCTCAGACTTAAGGGAGGGAGGAAACAAGGCCACCAGTTAGGTACAGGGCTCCCTTTCCACTGCACTGCGTCAAGAACAAAGCTGATGCTCTTAACGCTCCTTTGGGCATATCCCACCAGTATAAAGCGCTCCTCAACCTTGTCAGGAGGAGCTGGTCTTTCTCATAATGGAGGAAGGCACCAGGAATGAGGCAGCTGCATCCCTTGTGAGGCTTGATCTGAAAACCAGGACGTCTCCCAACCAGAGACCCACATCCTCTGGCACATGAGTGCTGGCCTGGTCTCTAAAATCCTTCCCACTCCGACCTTCTGCATCTACAGCTAAAAACAACCAGGATGCTTCAAATGCTGGGCTCACTGGGGTAAGCAGGATTGGGCTTGGCAAAGGCCAGGTAGATCTGGTTGTTTCTGTCAGAAAATGTCTTCTAAAAATAGGATTTTTCACAAGCTCCAGTAGATGCCAGGCCCCTTGCTCACTTTATCTCATTTGAACCTCTCATCACCCTGTGAGATACCCCGCATCTGTGTAGATAACCCCATACCTACAGACACCCCCAGATCTATAGACAACCACCACATCTCACATCTTTGTATCTCATAAACCCGACCCAGTGTCTGGCACGTGGAATCTGCTCAACAAATTTTTGCTGAGTGGAATCAAGCAGCAGAGCTGGCTTCCTAACCCAGTCTGAGATCAGAGCTCAGGTTTTTCTCAAGCTGCCTCTTCACCTGCTTCTTTCTTTGTCTCCGTGGTCAAGCTAAGAAGTGATTGATCCCTTTCTCCTCTTATCTAATTGGACTCTATCACTGCACCTTCCCTTCCATCTCACTGACCCCAATCTTTTTTCTGGGTCAGCATCCTGCTTACCCAGGCAACATTCGGGATGGTCCCAGGCAGTCTGACCAGAGAAACAGCCCTTTCTCCTGTAGCTGTGGGAGAATTGAGGAAGAAGCCCAAGGCCTATCTGCCTCCACCAGTGCTGCCCTGGCCAGGGTTTTGCCTGGGTAGAGCATCCATCCCCACCCTGCTATAACAAGAAAGCCTGGGCATACCCCAGCCAGAGGTTCCACTGCAGGACAGCCACCCCCAGCCCAGCCTGGAACTTTAATCGAATTGCTCTTACCCTCAGTGTAGAATCAGACCACACACTGCAGTCAGGATGGAAGTGAGGAGGAGATGGTCCAGCCTCAGCAGCCTGGTACTCATGGAGGCAGGCAGTCCCCACCTCACCATTGTCCCTTCCCATTGGCCAATTCATGAGGGCCAGAGACCAATGGGTGGGCACTTGCCCCTGGCAGCTGCCTCAGGTCTCCACCCCAGGGAACCTGGTGCAACTCAGCTTGGACTTGGGAGGCCAAGTGGAGCTTCAGTCACAACACTTGTATTCCCAGACCTTGGCCCTTATTTTTGCCTCCTAACAGCAACAGAAGTTGGGGCAAGGGTCAAGACCAGAAGCAGGAAAACAAGATATTTCTGCATGTGAGGGAGAAACTTCCTCACGTAAAATAAACTGCCCAGTGAGCCAGGAGACCTCTCTCTCCCCTATAGATTTGCTGTAATAATTCAGGGGCACCAATTACCACCATTGCACTCCTGTTCACTGCGCATGATTAAGTGTGAGATTGTGTGGTTCAGACATTGAGCACTTCAGAAGGGAGAACAGTCAGAGAGGACTGCAAGAGAGTAAGAAATAGAGCACACCCTCCACTCTCCAGCCTGGATCCCAGATTTTGGAAAGACTTTGTGTGTTACTTCTGAGAACTGAGATGAGGGGACGTCTCTAGGGTGGTGTGGGGCAGGGCCAGATTAAGACCTTTAGAGCTTCGAATTCCAAAAGATTATGGAGCCCCACTCCTAGTCAAATTCAATACAACAGAAAACTTACACAAAATGTGATAATAGAACACAATCTTTCAAGATTTTCTAGTTCCAAAGTTCAGGATAAGATTTTTAAAGCCAATTTTTTATGTGTCTGTGAGTCCTCATTTTGCCAGTGCCTTAAACACATACCTAATCCACCTCTGAGCTAGGAGTGGCCTAGAGGACCAGAAGCTGCCACCCACTTAAGGTTCCTAGAAGGCCTAAGCTTGAAGTGGCAACATTCATCACCTTAACTCTTTCTTGGCAAACCCACGTTCCGTTTTTGAAGAGAAGGATCAGAGGTGGTTCTTGCAAGCCATGAATTCTGATGCATTAAATCATGACCCTGGCAAGGGCTCAGGATCCCAGCAACAACTTCTGCAATACCTTCAGAAACAGAATGTTCACAGGCAGAGGCTGGGCAAGCCTCTGCCTGCCCCCAAATACCACCTCCACTGGCCACAGAGAACCTAAAAGTCCACCAGCAAAGTAAAGTAAAAGTCTGATCTAAGGCCTTGGCCTCCTACAAATATGTCTAGAGAAGACACATCAGGCCATAGAGATTGGAGTCTTGAGTCCCCTTCGAAGGGCCCACTGGCTTAGACAAGGGGCCTATGAAAATGAGGTTCTACCATTACCAGGTAGGTGGGACTGAGGAGGAACCACAGAGAAACTGCAGCAACTCTCATTACATTACTGCTTTATTTTTACTGTGGCATTTTCTTATTTATTTTTGGTTTGTGTTCCTATCCGTTTCTCTTTACTAGAATGTAAACTTGATGAGAACAGGCCCTTTGCCTCTGCAATGTTGTGTCCCTTAACCCCTAGAATAAGATCTGGTACAAGGTAGGCAATGATAAATGTTGAGTCAATGAATGAGTGAGCATAGTTAATCTTCCTTTGGTGAGAGCCACGATGGTCTCCCATTTTACAGATCAGGTATTTGGAATTCAATGAGGTGAAGGGATTTGTCCAAGGCACAGATCCCAAGTTTGAACCCAGATCTGTCTGACTACAAAACCCATATGCCTTCTAATACCTCATGTCCTTCACCTCTCCTGATGGCCTATGAGACCCCAAGAGTCATGCCTGTACTTCAGGACAGCTTTGGGGTTGGCACAGAAAGTATCTTCTTCCGACCTTATGGGAATGCTGCTGGTTACAGCAGACTTTATCTATTGCACAAGGTGGAATGACTTTAGCTGCAGAAATCACGCCAAGACTGTACTGGGTCTGGCTGTCAGCCAGTGACATTGTGAAATCCTGTCATTTTGAGGCCTCAGGGAAATCTGCCATCCACCACAAAGGCCTTCATGTGGAAAGACGCAATTCTGTGGCATACTGGTTTAGAGATTGTAACTTAAAAACGTTCAGCCAGAAATGCCTTGAGGCTAGTCTTTTTCCCAGTATAGAAGTGTTACTACCTAGAATGAAATAATCAAATAAAGGTAATCGTTTCCTCCAGGGTATCATGGCTACAGCTCAGTCTCCTGTCAGTATGTGAACTGGAATATTGAAACAGCAGGACACATAATTAAGTTTCCCATAAGTTTGGCTAAGTACTGTCATATATTTTTGCTTAATTGTGATTTTTAAAAAGTAATTGTGATTGGAATAACTAAGCATAATCACTGTGTTTTGAAAAATAATACAGAAGATTGGAGCAAGATGGCAGAGTAAGCACACCTTGCAGCCTTCACTCCATCCCAGATTCCTAGATGCGGCAAGAAAGAAAAAAATTCCTTCATCTCTTCCAAAGACTTGGCTACAATTGCACTTCATCAGAGGCGATCTTCTATACTAATTTAAGTACGTTTTGCCACTGGTGCTTTAGACTCACAGTAACCCACTTCCACTGGCAAGAAGGCCAGTTCAGATAAGCAACCCTGTTCACATCTTCGAAAGCCTGTGTCCTTGGGCCATTCCTGACACCGAAATACTGTTTTAGTCAAGGAATTTGCCCAATAATTTTGGAAAGGCTGGAGAAACAAAAGGAGGGAGCGGGTGTTGCCCAGCGATCAGGAAGCAGCTCTGCCCCTGGGCTGTGGCTTAGAAACCTGCACTCACTTGCTAGTACTGCTGGAGGCTCCACCACTGCACTGAACAGGAGCTGGGGCCACTGACACTGCCAAGGGCACAGCCTGAAACACAATGGCTTCTCCCATCTTCCCTTTTCAATCTGCACAATTGTCTCCCATCTGCAGAATCTAACTGGAACTCATCTCGCAAGGGAGTCTAGGATATGTCATTTCAGACACCCAGCTTAAGGAATACAAAGGGGATTATAGCAAAGTAGATATAGGGGCCAGCCCCATGGCTGAGTGGTTAAGTTAGTGCACCAGGCTGAGGCAGCCATGCTGAGGCAGCGTCTCACATAGCAGAACTAGGACCTAAAACTAGAATATACAACTATGTACTGGGGTGCTTTGGGAGGAAGAAGAAAAAGAAGGAAAAAAAAAGATTGGCAGCAGATGTTAGCTCAGGGCCAATCTTTAAAAAACAAAAAGTGTATATAACGCTAAGTAACAAGAGACATGATCTGACACAGCCCACAACTTCAACAAATAGAAGAATTTACAGCCAAGAAAACAAAGCTAATAGCAAAAAAATGAGTGGGGCAAAACTGAAGAATAAGTCTTATTATTATATTTAGAGAGATGACAGGAAATAGCATACATGAAAATAAATAATGAATAGCCTGCCACAGTAGGAAGTGAAAACAATTTTCTGTTCTGTAAGTCACCAAGTTTGTGGTGATTTGTTATGGCAACCCTAGGAAACTAATAGAGGGAAGTACAGCTAGGTAAAGAGTTCTTACGCACGACACCAAAGGCATGACCCATTTTTTAAAAACTGGTAAATGAGACCTCATGAAAATTAAAACTTTTGCTCTGTGAAAGACCCTGTTCATTGGACAAAAAGACAAGGTATAGACTGGGAGAAAATATTTGCAAACTATATATCTGACAAGAGATTTGTATCTAGATTATATAAAGAACTCTCAAAACTAAACATTAAAAAAAAAATCCAATTAGAAAATGGGCAACAGACATGAAAGGTATTTCACAAAATAGGATACATGGATGGCAAGTAAGCACATGAAAAGATGTTCAACATTATTAGCCACTAGAGAAATGCAAATTAAAATCACAATGAGGTGTCACTATACACCTACTAGAACAGCTAAAATTAAATACAGTAAGAAATACTGTAATGGTAGATACATGTTATTATCCATTTGTCAAAACCCATAGAATGTACAACACCAAAAGTGAACTCTACTGTAAACTATAGACTTTGTATGCTTTAAAAAAAAAAAAGTGGGGAAAGTAGAGAGCACAAAATTTTTTAAAGATAGAAAAATAATAAAAAAATAGTGAGGCTACTAAATTTGAGAAAGCGCACAATGAAAATGGACCACTCCTACTTTGCCACTGGGGATGGAAAATGGTACAGCCATTCTGGAAAATAGTTTGGCAGCTTAAAAGATTAAACAGCAGTCATACTCCTGAACATTTATCCCAAAGAAATGAACAGAATGTCCAAACAAAATCCTATACATGAAAACCTGAATATCCCTAAATATATGTATCTTTGTTCATTTGTGTGAGCAAACATGTAGGATAAATTTCTAGACGTGGAATTACAGGATCAAGGAGGACGTACATCTTAAATTTTTATAGTTGTCGTAAATTGACTTTCAAAAATTCACTAGTGATGTATTCTGCTCCCAATGGTATCAGAGCGCCTGTTTCCTTATGTTCACTAATATACTGTCAAACATTTAAATATTTGATATTCTTACAGATTTTTTTAAAGTATCTCATTTTAATTTCTATTTCTCCTATTAAGTGTGAGGATGAGTTACTTTTCTGTGTTTATTGGTTATTTGCATTTATTTTCCTGTGAATTGTGTGTTTATTTATTTCCTTTGTCTATTTTTCCTGTTGAGCTATTTTTATTAATTTTTAAAAATTCTGTGTATATCAAGGAAATTAATCTTTTATTATATGTTTTGAAAATTTATGTATCTTTTGCCTTTAAAAAATGTTTTATACAAAAATCTTCCACTTCCTCTTTAGCCTAATTTTTTTTTTTTTAAAGATTTTATTTTTTCCTTTTTCTCCCCAAATCCCCCCGGTACATAGTTGTATATTCTTCGTTGTGGGTCCTTCTAGTTGTGGCATGTGAGACGCTGCCTCAGCATGGTCTGATGAGCAGTGCCATGTCCGCGCCCAGGATTCGAACCAACGAAACACTGGGCCGCCTGCAGCGGAGCGCGCGAACTTAACCACTCGGCCACGGGGCCAGCCCTGTCTTTAGCCTAATTTTTTAACATTTGCCTTTTGGCTTCTGGATTTTGTGTTTTGCCTGAAAGGTTCTT